AGGGTTTTTTTTTGATGAATTATCTTTTATGTCTTTTAATGGCTACACCAAACTTTTCACTTGGAAGGTTTCAACCTCTTTCGAAGGTTTGACCTTGAAGTTGTTATTTCCTCCCCAGATCTGTGGCTTGTTAAACTGAATTTGAAATTTGGAGGTTGAGAATAAGCTTCGTAATCTCCTTTTTGAAAGCCATAGTTGGATCTGTTACATTAAAGGCTATGTTAAAAAAGAATGTAAAAGCACAATATTATTTGAACTGAAAGCTACTGCAAAATGGTGCAGTACAAAGGAACCTGGATATCATACATGAATCACAAAAGAAGTTAGCACAAGGCTACAGCAAGCATTTAAGACAGCAAATGGAATAGAAATATTGACCTTTATTCTAATAGTGATGGAGTATGAAAATAGGTAGGTCTCACGACAATTGTACATCACATAGTGGGGTCACACCTATAGCATTGCAGACAGTTTTAGTCTCTTCATTTCAGGAGGAATATACTTGTAGTGGAGGCAGTTTAGAGAAGGTTCATGAGATTGATTCTTTACTTGAGTTCTATCATAGAATATGGCAAGACCAGTGTTTGTTGTCCATTCCTAATTGCCCTGTAGAAGATGGTGGTGAATCACTGCAGTACATATGACATAGGTACTTCCAAAGTGCTATGTGGAAGGAAATTCCAGGATTTTGACCCAGTGACATTGAAGGAACAATGATATAGGTCAGGATGGCATGGCTTGTAGAGGAAGTTGCAGGTGTTGGTGTTCCCATGTATCAGCTGCCCTCCATCTCAGTTGTAGAGATGGTGAGTTTGGAACGTACTGTCAAAGAAGCCTTGGAGAGTTGTCGCAGTGAATCTTGTATATGGCATGTTCTGCTGCCTTGTGCACGCTGTGAAAATGTGCTTTCTGAATGGCCAAGCTTTAATTTTAAGCTTAAGCCTCTTTGGTCTAGGTTTTTCTGCCAGAGAAATTGTATTTTCTCTCCAACTACACTATCAACATTTTTTTAAAATCACTTTTTCAACTTCTAATTCAAGGGAATATTACTTCAGTCTATGCAAACTGCCTGTATATAATTTTAACTCTTTTAGACTTGATGTTGTTCTCGTGAACCTGCCTTATTTTTCCTGGAGTAATACCTGAAGCAATAAATAGTACTCACCAGGTGCAGAAAATTATTCACCAAAGGTACTGAAAAGTATGAGAAGCACCAGATAATACCATACATAAGTAATGCTCACCAATAAAACTGAATATACTCACCACAAACCATGTGGTTTGCACTGATACTTTTTATCTCAAGGAAGATGCTGGAATCAACTCGAAAGAATCAACTGAAACAAATTGAGCTAATTTAATGAAAATCTGGGATTTCACTAATTGGCAGTGACACATTCTCAAACTTACAAACAGCAAAGTCTTTTATTATCTCTTAAATTCTGATCACTTCCCCAATCCTCCAATGCAGTATCTAATAATTCTTGAATATTCACAGGATTTTCTCCTTCACTATCACTTGTGGACATCCATTCATTTCTGTCTGTGAAATAAAGCAGCTTAGTGATTTGTTTTAAGCCAAATATTTTCTCAGACTGCTTTGAACAGATCAAAAAAGCACACATGAAAAAGACAGAAATATCCAGATCACCTCACAAGGAAATGTTTTTCTGATGAAGGGTCTAGGCCCGAAACGTCAGCCTCTCTGCTCCTATGATGCTGCTTGGCCTGCTGTGTTCATCCAGCCCTGCACCTTGTTGTCTCTTTTATTGTTACACAGTCTGTTGCCCATTTTGCACAAGCTAAGACGTCATATGGAGAGCGATTAACATCACTGAAAGAATAGATGAACTAAATTCATTCAGAATAGCAGACATACACTGCAAAGAAAAAGGCCATTGAGCCCATTGTGTCTGTGCCAGCTCTCTGAAAGAGCAATCCAGTTAGTTCTAAACTCTGTTCCTTCCTTAATTAAGCTGCACATTTTCCCATTGATATATTATCAAATTTGCTTCTGAAAGTTATTAATAAAGCAGTTTCCTAAACAGTATCAGGAACTGTTTACGAGAACATATTTTTTCCTTTTATATCCTTTTGCCCAATCACCTTAATTCTCTATCTTATTGCAAATGCCTCTGCCACTGGAAGCAGTTTACCTTTATTTACTCTATCAAACCCCTTCATGAATTTGAATGCCTAGCTTAAAATTTCCCTCTTAACATTCTGTAACTCTATGGAGAACCAACCTAGCCTCTTCATGTAACTGAAGCCCCCTGATCATCTCAGGTACTGGTCCAGTACACCACCAATGTATACTCTTGAGGTTTGATAACCTGCCTAAAGTATGATGCTTGCAATGGGCATGTTAATCCAGCTGAAGCTTAACAAGAATTTTAGAAAGGTTTAGCATAACTTCCTTGCTTACTAGTACTTTATGTTCATACCTGTAAAATCTTTTTTAAACAGCAAAACTCTTTTTAACAGCCTTCTCAATTAACCCGCATCCTTTAAAGAACTGTTGTTCTATCCCCTCTAAAATTGTACTATTTAACTATATTGTCTCAGCCTCTTCTTTAAGAGACTGATTCAAGTTAAAAACAGGTGACCATGTGTCATTCTTTCAACCACTTGTTTCTCATGTCTTCTTGCTGTCTTCAATACAATTTAAGTTTAGATTTAACTGAAATAAAAGAAATAGAAATCACTTAGTTGTAGGGTTCATATTTCAAAACAATTTCCTAAAAGAATTACTTCAACAGGAACAATTTGCACTTAAAGCACCTTTAATGAAGCAAGATATCCTAAGGCACTTCAAATTGTGGTTATCAAACAACATTGTGACATTGAGTCACATGAGGACTTATTAGGAAAGGTCACTAATACCTTGAGGTAGTTTTAAAGGCTATTTAAAAAAGGTGAGTTGGCAGTAAGGCGGAAAGGATTGGGGGGTTATAGATAAGTGAAGGCAAAAGCACAAATTGAGCAAATAGCTGAGGATTCACAAGAGGCTATAAAAACTCGGGTTGTTTTCTCTGGAACAGCAGAGGCTGACGGGTGACTTCATAGAAGTCTACAAAATTATGAGATGCATAGATAGGGTTGATGGTCAGAATCTCTTTCCCAGAGTTGAAATGTTAAAACTAGGGGGCATGCATTTAAGGTGAGAGAGAAAGTTCAAAGGAGATATGAGGCGCAAGTTTATTCTTACACAGAGAGTGGTGGGAGTCTGGAACGTGCTTCCAGGGGTGGTGGTGGAGGGAGATCCAATAGGGGTGTTTAAAGGACTTTCAGATGAGCACATGAATATGCAAGCAATGGAGGGATATAAAGGCAGGCAGAAGGGATTAGTTTAATTTGGCATCATGTTCGGCACAACATCGTGAGCCAAAGGCCCTGTTCCTGTGCTGTACAGGTCAATGTTCTATGTTCTAGAAGTGGAGGAACACAGAGGTCTAGGAGGGTTAAAGGGCTTCAAACAGAAGTAATCTGGGGCAAGCATTCATGTTGATAACTGACGTCCAACTGCAACTGGAAAGTTACAAAATGGGCCAGCAGTTCACTATCATCCATTTTACACGACTGCATAAGCATCTATCTCAGTACCTCTCTCAACTGACCCTGTGAAAACTTTCAGAAAGCCAGAAGATGGCGATGTTCAACCACGACACAAAAGATGGCTTTAATCGCTTTTGAGATGGTTAACTTTTGATTGTATATTATAATATATTTGGGATTAAAGAAATGATTCACCATGTTTCATCCTGGAATACAGGGGGAAATAAGATAATTTACTAAATAACTGAGTAAATTCCAGAATTACTGAACCCATATGCTTCCTCAATTTAGTGTCGTGGGAGAAACTCAACTCATTAGCATACTTTTTTTTAGGCACCACAGTGCCTTTAGTGCTTAAATGATGTGCAATATCAACTTGTTGCCAGCAGTGCTGTCTTGGAGTTCAACATTTCAGTCAATGTTTTCTCTTAACTTAAAATGCTTGTAAAATACTTGGTCAACAGCAGGAATAACGCCACAGTGATGAATCATCAACTACTTACAGGTTGTCTGTGGGTTAGTTTCTTCTTATTTTTCTTTCAAGTTACAAGTATTCAGTTTTTGTTTTCTACAGTTGTTTCAAGTTTGCAAGTGTGCAGGAATAGAATGGCAACTGCTGATGGACTTTTTGCCAACTTCAAAATTCCTGCAAAATATGTTAGTGCCAGACATGAGTGTCTGGAGTAGGGAATGATTTGTAGAATGAACAGGCAAATAAAAGAGGACAAGTTGCTAATAGAAGGAGAATATTGTAGAACATCATGGAATCCCTACAGTGTGGAAACAGGCCATTCGGCCCAACAAGTCCATACTGACTCTCTGAAAAGCATCCCACCCAGACTCACCTCCCTACCCTACCCTATCCCTGTATCCTTGTATTCCCCATAGCTAATCCACCTAACCTATACATCCCTGGACACAATGGGCAATTTAGCATGTCCAATCTACGAGAAAGAGAAGGGTTCACAGTAGGAGGCAGTATCTACACAGTTCATGAAGTAATTCTCCGACTTGAACCTCAGTAAAGAAGAACAGTCCATGATTCAGTCAGAACATCCTCATTGAAATCTGTCTTCTGCTCCAACCACAACTATAACATAGAGCAGAGTGTATATTTCAATACTGTCACTTTAACAGTTATTGCAATGATGATCCTTTATGTGTTTGGCTTTCTCTACTCTGCAACTCAACACATTTCCAACAGCTTGCTCTTTCCTGTCCATTGTTTTGTCATGACCAATTTGGGAAAATGCATTAATACTCCAGGCCCACTACTTCCGCCACAAAAGTTAAAAGATTTAATGCAAGGTCCCCAATTTTCCTGTATTTTGAACTTAGGTTAACAGAAAATACAAACCAGATTTCTGTATATAAAAAGTAAACTATTTACTACAAAATACATCAATTCTAACCACACACAAACAAAGCAATGAATTACTAAAAAATAACTCTACCAGCCAAAACTTTAATCTCCTTCTTAATCCCAAACACACACATATAGACAAACAAGTAAACATGTTACAGGAGAAAAAGGTACTGGTGAAACACAGTTCAGTAGTTCCAGTTCACAGAATTCCATGAGGTGTCCCCTTTGCTTCTTCCAAGACCTTCTGTTGTTCAATCTCCTTATCCAGATTCTTGATCAGTTCTTTGCTGAAGAGACAGGGCAGGTTGCATAGAAATTGTAAACCTTTCAATTACTTGTTAGAGATAACCGCTTACAGCCAATGACGCAATAGAATAACTAGCTACCTTCCTTGTTTTGGTTACTTCACTGAAGAGAGAGAGAAATATATCCTTTTTCTGTTGCAATCGGAAGGCTTCTGCCTCTGTATTGCTCACAAACATTCTGTTCACCCCTCCAGAAGCTAACTGGAGAGTTTTTTTTGTGTTAATTACTCTTGGCCTCCTCAACTGGTCCTGATTGCACAAACCAATCAGCAAACTGACTCTGAGCAAAACATACTTTCACAAATACTCACTGTGCAGTGATGTCTCGGACATCTTCCCTGACTGCTTTAACAAAGCAATGATGTAAACATTTTTGTGTTACTCATGGGATGTGGGCATTGCCAGCTGGGTCAGCATTTATTGCCCATCCCTTGAAAAAGTGGTGAAGAACTGCCTTCTTGAACGGCTGCAATCTATTTGGTATAGGTACACCCACAATGTCATTAGGGAGAGAGTTCCAGTATTTTGAACCAGTGACACTGAAGAAATGGCAATATATTTCCAAGTCACAGTGGTGACTGGCTTGGAGGGAATCTTGCAGGTGTTGGTGGTCCTATGCATTTGCTTCCCTTGTCCTTCTAGATAGTAGAAGTCATGGGTTCAGAAGGTGCTGCCTAAGGAACCTTGGTGAATTTCTGCAGTTCATCTTGTAGATGACACACACTTCTGCTACTGAGGGTGGAAAGAGTGAAAGTTGGTTCATCTGATGCTAGTCAAGTTGATTCCATTGTCCTGGGTGTTGTCAAGTTTCTTGATTGTTGCTAGAAATGCATTCATACAGGCAACTGGGGAGTATTCCATTACATTGCTGGCTTGTGCCTTGTAGATGGTGAACAGGCTTTGGGGAGTCAGGACATGAGCTACTTGCTGCAGATTCCTACCCTCTGACTTGTTCTTGCAGCCACAGTATTTATATGTCTAGTCCAGTACTACATTATTTGGTCAACAGTAACCCCAGGATGTGGTTGGGGGTGGTGGAGAGTGGGGTGTCAGTGATTGGTAATGCCATTGAATGTCAAGGGATGATGGTTAGATTCTTTCTTGTTGTAGATGGTCATTGCCTGGCACTTCTGTGGTGTGAATGTCACTTGCCACTTGTCAGCCTAACCTGGATATTGTCCAGCTTTCACTGCATTTGAACTTGGACTACTTCCATATCTGAGGAGTTGTGAATGGTGCTAAACAATGTGCAGTCATCAGCAAACATCCTCAATTCTGACTTTTATGATGGAGGGAAGATCATTGATGAGGCAGCTGAAGATGGTTGGGCCAAGGACACCACCCTGAGGAACTCCTGTGGAGATATCCTGAAGCTGAGATAACTGACCCCTAACACCAAAAATATCTTCCTCCGTGCTAGGTCTAACCAGTGGAGAATTTCCCCCGAATCCCTAGTTTTGCTAGGGCTCCTTGATGCCATACTCTGTCAACTCCTGCCTTGATGTCAAGGGCAGTCATTCTCACCTACCTTAGACTATAAGACCATAAGTAACAGGAACAGGAGTGGGCCATTCAGCCCATCGAGCCTGCTCTGTTATGTCAATAGGTTCATGGCTGATCCAATATTCCTCACATTCACCTTCGTGCCCTGTCTCCATAACCTATGATTCCCCTACTGATCAAGAATATATCTATCTGAGCCTTAAATATACACAAAGTCTCTGCCTCCACAGCTCTTTGTGGCAAGGTGTTCCAAAGACTCTCATCACTCTGAGAAAAGAAATTCCTTCTCATTCAGTCTTAAATTGACACCCCTTTATTCTGAGACTGTGCCCTCTGGTCCTAGACTCTCTATGAGGGGAAGCATCCGGTCAGTATTTACACTGCCAAGGCCCTTCAGAATTCTACATATTTCAACGAGATCACCTCTCGTTCTTCTAAACTCCAGTGAGTTGAGTCCTAACCTGATACACCTTTGCTCAAAGGACAATCCCTCCATAGCAGAGATCATCCTAGTGAACTTTCCCTGAACTGCCTTCGATGAAATAATATACTTCCTCAAATAAGGGAATCAAAACTGAGGAACTCAGGAATTGGAATGAGGAACTGGAATACACAGTATTCCAGGTGTAGTTTCACCAGCATCTTATATAATTGAGTAAGACTTCCCCACTTTTTTTTTTTTAAATTAACCTATTTTTCTACTCAACCAGTTCAGAGATGTTATTACACACCTCTGGAGCAGGTGGAACATGAGCCAAGGCCTCTTGGTTCAGGGGTAGGGTCACCATCCCCACTCTTGCCTATTTTTCTAATTAACCTATTCAGAGATGTTATTAGACACCTCTGGAGCAGGTGGGACTTGAACCTGGGTCTCTCAGTCTGCCGCACCCCGCTGTTATACACCAACCCCCTTAAAATAACAGCCAACATTGCATTAACCTTCCTGATTATACTCCACATTATACTCCATTTTCCAACTTGTTGCCCACTTACTTAAACTATCAATATCTCTCTGTAAACTGTTTGCATTCCTTTGGATCTTGCCTTCCACCTAATTTTGTGTCATCTGCAAGTTTGGCTACAGTGGATTTGCTTCTTTCCTCCAAGTCATTAATATATATTGTAAACACTTACAGTCCCAGCACTGATCCCCGTGGAACCCCACTAGTTACAGGTCACCAACCTGAAAAATAACCCCTTATCCCCATTTGCTGTTTCCTGCCCATCAGCCAATTCTCTATCTTTGGAATTCAGCTCTTTTGCTCCTGTTGGAACCAAGGGTGTAATGAGAAGTGGAACTGAATGGATGTGGCAGAAGCCAAACTGAAAGTCTGAGCAGATGATGCTGCTTGGCCTCCTGTGTTCATCCAGCCCTGCACCTGTTTGTCTCAAATTATTGCTAAGTATTTGCTGCTGAATAGCATTGTTGCTGAAACTTTCATCACTCTTCTGACAATCAAGAGTAGTCTGATGGGTCGGTAATTGGTCAGGTTGAATTTGTCCTGCTTTTTATGGACAGAAATCTGGGCAATTTTCCACATTGTCTGGTAGATGCTAGTGTTGTAACTGTATTGGAACAAAATGGCTAGGGGCTTGGTAAGTTTCGGAGCAAAGTCCTTAGTACCATTTCTGGAGAATTGTCAGAGCTCATAGCCTTTGCAGTATCCAGTGGTTCCAACTGTTTCTTGATATCATATGGAAACGTAGAAACATATAAGTTAGGAGCAGAAGGAGGCCATTCAGCTCTTCGAGCCTGCTCCTCCAGTCATCACGATCATGGCTGATCGTCCAACTCAATAGCCTAATCCCACTTTCTCCCCATAACCTTTGATCCCATTCACCCCAAGTGCTATATCTAGCCACCTTTTGAATACATTCAATGTTTTGGCATCAACTACTTCCTGTGGTATTGAATTCCACAGACTCACCACTCTTGGGGTGAAATGTCTCCTCATCTCCATCCTAAATGGTCTACCCTGAATCCTCAGACTATGACCCCTGGTTCTGGACACATCCACCATCGGGAACATCCTCCCTGCATCTACTCTGTCTAGTCTTATTAGAATTTTAGAAGTCTCTATGAGATCCCCCGTCATTTGTCTGAACTCCAGCAAAAACAATCCCAACTTAGTCAATCTTTCCTCATATGTCAGTCCCACCATCCCCAGAATCAGCCTGGTAGGCCTTCATTGCACTCCCTCAAGAGCAAGAGCATCCTTCCTCAAAAAAGGAGACCAAAACTGCACACAATATTCTAGGTGTGGCCTCACCAAGTGAATCAAATTGCATGAAGACTGACATATGTCATGTTGGGAATTACTGAAGGAGGCCAAGTTGGATCATCTATTCAGCTTTTCTGGCTGAAGATTGGTGCAATTGCTTCAGCATCATCTTTTGCCCTGATGTGCTAGGCTCTATCATTATTGAAGATGGAGATATTTGTGAAGCCTCCTCCTTGAGCCAATTTTTTTAATTGTCCACCACCATTCATGACTGAGTGTGGTAGGATTGCAGAGCTTAGCTCAGTTGTGGAATCGCTTAGCTCTGTCTGTCATTTGCTGCTTGTGTTGTTTGGCACATAAGTAGTCCTGTTTTATAGCTTCACCAGGTTAACACCTCATTTGAAGGCATGCCCCCCTGCATTCTTAATTGAAGTAGTTCAGGTGCTGACACTGTATGTATCTTGGAAGATAGTTTAGAGACAAAATTTGCATGTGGTGGAATGCCAGGCAAAGTGAGTTTCAGCCAGGACAATGAGAAGGAGTAGGTGCTAGCTTACCAGAAGGTGTGGTTTATAGCAGATTTTGCTTCAAAGGGCTTAAATGTGGCTTGATAGTAATGGTAGAGTGAGCGACATGTTGTGCCATGATGATATAAATGATGTTAGATGATGATTTGTCTGCTGCTGATGGCCCATGGCACCTCATGGATGCCCAGTCTTGAGTTGCTAGATCTGTTCAAAGTCTGTCCCATTCAGCATGGTCACATTGCCAGATAACACAATAGAGGCTCTTCTCAATGTTAAGATGGGAACTTAATATAAGCAGTGTGTAGTGGTAACTCTTGCTGACACGGTATTGGACAGATGTATCTATGGCAGGCAGATTAATAAGGATATGTTGTCGGTGTTGTTTTTAATTCATCCGTGGGATGTGGATGGCACTGGCCAGGTCAGCATTTATTACCTAGGCCTAATTGCCCTGAGGGCAGTTAGGAGTCAACCACATTGCTATGGGTCTGGAGTCACATGTAGGCCAGACTAGACAGGGATGGCAGTTTCCTTCCTTATAGGACGTTAATGAACCAGTTGGGTTTTTCTGACTATTTTGGGGAGGCGGGGGACAGTACGTTCCTGCATTACTGCCTGGACAGTAATGGGTACAGTGTCTACAGCCTCAGTGTTGGGGAAACTATTGGAAGCAGTTCTGTGGGACAAAATTAACCTGCATATGGAGATAGTCAGCATGGTTGAATTCAGTCACTTGAATAGTCAGTGTGATTTTGTTAAGGGGAGGTGATGTCTAACCAACTTGATTTAATTTTTCAAAGAGGCAACCAGGTGCGTAGATGAGGGCAATGTATTCCATGCAGCTAACTTGGATTTCGGCAAGGCTTTTGACAAGGTCCTGCATGGGAAACCGATAGTGAAGGTAAAAGGCCATGGGATCCGGGGAAATCTGACTAACTGGATCTAGAATTGGCTGATTAGCGGGAGACAGAGACTGATGGCTGAGGGGTATTTTTAATGACTGGATTCTGCAGGGGATCAGTAGTATACTGATTGTAGCGTATATAAATGATTCAGACTTGAATGTAGGAAGGTTGATTAGTAAGTTCGCAGAGGAGGGTAGCTTTGGATTAAAGGAGGATATAGATGCTGGTCAGATGGGCTGATCAGTGGCAAATGGAATTCAATCTCAATAAATGTGAGGTACTGCATTTGGGAAGGACAAACAAGGCAAGGGAATATATGATGAACAGTAGGGCCCTGGGAAGCACCATGGATCAAAGGGACCTTGGTGTGCATGTCCGTTGGTCCATTAAAGGTGGTAGGACAGGTAGATAAAGTGGTTAAGAAGAAATATAGGATACTTTATTAGCCAAAGTATAGAAGTGATTCTGGAACTGTATAAAACATTGGTTAGGCCACAGCTAGAGTATTATGTACCGTTCTGGAATTCACATTATAGGAGTGATGTGATTACACTGGAGAGCATGCAGAGGAGATTTGCCAGGACGTTGCCTGAGGAAGAGAGATCGGATAGACTGGGGTTGTTTTCCTTGCAGCAGAGAAGGAAAACCCTGTACATGATTGAGATGTATAAAATTATGAGGGGCATATACAGGAATAAACATTTCCCCTTGGTGTAGGGCTCAATGACCAGAGGGCATAGATTTAAGGTAAGGTGCGGGAGGATTCGAGGGGATGCGAAGAAAAGTTTTTTTTCACCAAGAGGTGGCAGCAATCTGGAACTCACTGCCTATAAGGATGGAGGCAGAAACTCTCAATATTCAAGAAATATTTGGAAGTACACTTGTGATGCAAAAGCACATAAGGCTATGGGTCAGGTGCTGGCAATTGGGATTAGAATAGTGTTGTGGTTGTTTTTGATTGGTGCAGACTCAATGGGCTAAAGGACCCTTTACTGTGCTGTAGACTCTGAAATGTTTAGAGTTGATCACTGGCATATGAAAAAAATGCAGTTCCTCTTTTGACCACTCTGGAGTAGCTTTTCAGTACTCAACAGAACAAGTGTCAAGACTCGAGGTAGTCTACTGCATAACGGTGCCATTGCGAGAGGCTGTATTGAACAACTGAGAAGTTGGAGAAAGAGGAAGAAAGAAGTGGACAACCACTTTATGCCTGAGCTGCTTGCAAAAATCTCATCTCAGAGTGATACCAGTTATCTCAAACCCAGAGCCCCATTCACCAAATGTCCTACACCTTACATTCCTTTTGTCACTGATCACTGTTGTGCCCACTTGGCCACGATACAAAAGATAGCTACAATATAAACATCCCAAATTAATTCAGAAAGAAAATTTCCTGGAAAGCCCTGTTGTGTACTGCACTATCTTAGCTAGTTGGCTTACCTGCCAATGATGGAATAGCAGCGGTGGGAGGAAGAGTGTTGGCCTCCTGAGAAATGAGAACAAGCTCATGCTCCATGAAGCCACTTCTCCAAGTAGTGCCTCAGCAATACTAATAGCCTGTCAGAAGATAGATCACCGGACTACTGAGATGCTCACCAAATCATTTGTTACACCACAATTCCCAGTCATGGCAGCAACAATTTGAGCTTGCAAGACGGCCATGTGACCTTCCAGTGCAACACACACACATTGGGCAGGTACTCCTTGTGCTACAAGGGAAACTATGTCATTGGCTAAACAATACTGCATAATATTGGACCCAATTATTGCATAATTGTGTGACAGAGTTGGTCACTTGTCCATGCTGGAAAGGAGAGGCTTCAAGCCCTGCACAATACTCTGTGCCATGGTGGTGCTGGACTCTTTGATATTGACGGTAAGCTCTCTAATGCATCAAGCATAGTGTGTATACCCTTCAGTATTCTGTAGGCTACCCAACTGAAGTCCTCATTTAAGTCCTTTGAAGCAAAATCTACTATAAACCACACCTTCTGGTAAGCTAGCACCTACTCCTTCTCATTGTCCTGGCTGCAACTCACCTTGCCTGGCATTCCACCACATGCAGATTTTGTCTCTAAACTATCTTCCAAGATACATACAGTGTCAGCACCTGAACTACGGCCTGTAAATGGGAAATCCAAGTTGTTATGGACCAGACCAAATCCCCTCAAAATATATCAAGGAGATAGCCTAGACCCTAAATTTTTCTTATTTTAAAGGCAAGTGCCATGTAATGTGTTCCAGATGCAATTGGATGGGTCAAACTATCAGGCTTGAAGCAAAACATGCTTTATTCATGCACTACAGTTAAAATACAGACAAAATATAAATTAAAGAATTGGTTTAACTGTAACTCTATCAAAATACTTAAAATAATAAACTACTCATTAACTACTCCAATATAGTAACGTCTCATAAGCATAAGCACACCTTTGCAAAGGCAAAAATCAGTAAAATACGTTGTCTCACATGCAGTTCTAGCAGCAGGAAGAGAACCCCAGCTTTTAGCTATAACAGAGGTAGAAAGAGCTTCCACTTTTAGCTTCAAGATCCCAGCAACTGCTACGGCAAGCTAAACTAAAAATCCTAGTTCTGTGGGAACTCGGCCGCACCCATGCAGGCTGCTTCTATTGTTCCAACTTTAAAAAAAAACCAAGGCCTCACAGCTGTTTACTTTATTGGCTTTGAACAGACCGCTCGCTACCTGTCTCAACCTCTCTTCATTTAAAAAAAAAGACAAAATATACTTCTTAAAAGCCATAGTATCATAAAGTGACCAATGCTGTATTTTCATTATCTTCAATTAGAGATACTTCCCTACCTGGGCATCTCTTGAGCTTTTAGTTATCTGAAACACAAAAAGGCACCAGGGTAAGATAGTGGCGCTGAAGTCGTGAGGGGAGGGGTGGGATGTGTGAAGGGAAGCAAGAGGAACATGCTTACACCACCTGCAGAACCTCCTTCCCCTCTGCAGATACAAAACATCTGCTATGCTGCGGACCTTCTTCACCAAATCCTTCAATGCAGCATCTGAAAATCCTGCAGCCCAATATCTTCTAAATGTGCCCTCTCTCATTCTGAGGTCAGATTCTCTTCAACCTAAATGTGCAGTAATTACCCCAGCCAAAACTATTACGATCCTAGCTGATGTTACTAGTAGACAAGTCTGATTGCAGACTAAAATTTGACTCATAGATATTTTGGTTTTTTGTTTCTTTTGTTTTATGAGGTGATCTCTCATTGAAACATAAGTAATGTTGTAGTTTGGTTTTAACAATAAAACAAAAAAGCTTACTAAGCAAAAGAAATGAGGATAAAATTGAATAAACCAAACATTTTACATATAATACACCTGTAAAAATTTCAAAACACACAGGAAAAATGTAATCAAATTAACTTGAAAAACTTTATATTACTCACAGAAAATTCCCTTCTCCATCAGTCCTAAAGGGGTTAATTAAACTGTGGGTTGAACTCTTAGCCTTGAGAATCTGATTACATCCTCCTGGAGCCTCTGTACAGCTCAATTTGAAAACTTTCTCAGCTTCAAATAACCCCTTCAGGATTTTAACTAAACACTTCTGGTTCAGAACTTTTACAAAATTCCTTACACTGAGCAGACCTGTTTTTGTCAAATCTAAATTATCTTCTCCCTTTTTCAGGAGCAACTGCTTTACATATCCAACTTCAGCAAAGATTCTGTACAAGAGCTAAACTGAAACTAAAAGTCTATGAGTGTTTCCTAAATTCAAAAGAAAAATAAATTCCTGACCTTCTAAACTAGGGTCTAATGCATAACAGTTCATTTTGTTCATGTATCAGATATTCAAATTCAAAAATCCAAACTCAAAATTAAATGATATTAAAATATGTAAAGAAATCACTCACCTTGCATTTCAGAATGCACTCTGTTTTAACTGGTGCAAGTGAACTTCAAATAAAGCTAGTTACTCACAATGTTTGCTCCACACTAATATGTCTAGCCAATGAGCAACACATTCGTACTGGCTGGTGGTCGTGGGTGGTTTGGCAATTTAATTGTACATCATTGTTCCCTTTCCTGTTTTTGGTGTTATCAATTTAGGCCCCCTCCCCATGTTATAGGGAAAAGTGCAATTATACTATCGTGAGGAATATACAGGACATTACTATCACTTGAACCCAATTTCACAAGACTTTCTTCTTTTCCCTTCTATGAAGCACTCGGATATGGAATAACGTGGCCAAATTCCAGACTATGTTAAACTATATAAAATTCTAATAAGAATAAAAGCAGAGATCTCACGTGTTATGGGCCTAAAAACTGCATAGGTGCACATGCAAGCACATGATGGGGCCAATGGAAGTTATCAGTCTCTATCGTATGGTAGAAGTTATCACCAGCCATGCTCACTTGTTGGAGACATTGAATGCTGAACCTCAGGTGTCTGCACAAATTGGGTGTGGCAGAATTCCCTGAAGCAGCTGCCCGGAATGTTTCCGTTGATATTGTGACCTTCCTCATGGAGACAAGGCAACAAATGAATTCAGGGGCAAAAAAAACAGCTGCACAATGTGGCTGCAACCCTCAGGAGCAATGATTACTCCCCTGAGGTAATGGAAGTACAGGTGTGCTGTGAAAAGGTAAAGACAGGCAGAATGCCTGGCAATGGGGCATTATTAAAGCTTCATGCAGCTATTGACCAACTCTGCTAATCACCCCCCAACCCCACCCGACAGAGGCATATGCATTGCATCCTGCCTCTATGAACAAGACTGCCCTTGCATGGGTGCAGGCAGGGCAGTCAGTGACTTCACCAATGTCCTGTACAACCTCAACATGACATCCCAACTCCTATACTCAAAGGTTTAAGCAATGAAGATACGCATGCCAAACACCTTCTCAACCACCCTGTCTACCTGTGACACAAATTTCAAAGAATTATGTACCTGAACCCCTAGGTCACTCTGTTCTACAATACTACCAATGGTCCTACCAGTAAGTGTATAAGTCCTGCCCTTGTTTGTATTACCAAAATTCAACACCTCACATTTATCCAAATTAAACTCCATCTGCAACTCCTCAGCCCATTGACTCAATTGATCAAGATCTCTTTGTAATCCTACATAACCTTCTTCACTGTTCACTATACCACTAATTTTGGTGTCACCTGCAAACTTACTAACCATGCCTCCCGTATTTTCGTCCAAATTGTTTATATAAATGACAAACAAAAGCAGACCCAGTACCAATCCCTGTGGAACATTGTGGTCACAGGCCTCCAGTCTGAAAAGCAATCCTCTGTCTCCTACCATAAAGCCAATTTTGTAGCCAATTGGCAAGCTCACCCTGAATCCCGTGTGATCTAACTTTACTAATTAGCATACCATAGCTGTTCACCCTCTTCCTTTTCTGAGTATGCAGAGTACTAATGTCACGTACTTCCAGTTCCTCTCCTTTCTGCATCACCATTTTATGCAATGCACAGCTCAGTACCACAACATATGATTTTATTGAAGAATCATATTGGGAGGGCCCCCTGATTCATCAAGGATGTAGAACTGCAAGTTCAGGAGACCAATGGTCGTCTTGATGATTGCCCTGGTGGAAATTGCAGTGGTTATATTGTTCATATGCCTCTGTTGTGGGGTTCTGTGATGGTGTCATGAACAATGCCATGAATGAACATCCCTCAGGTGCCACCCAAGCAGCCAATGTAGTAAACATGTTGAGACACCCAAGACTGCTTCAGGGTATTACACTAGTGGAAGCCACCCCATAAATTAATATGCCCCTACCTTTGTTATCATCCATTTTAGAACAATTACAGGTTTTTGACTACGGGAGGAATTTTCTAGTTGGTATCCCCAATTATGATGCCAGATGCTCATAGATAAATCTACTTTCACTATTGAAATCTACTTTCCACTGTGCAGCTGCCTCAACTGTGTAACACCTTAATATGTGTACATTGCTAACACATATGGGGCCTGTGTGCCACAGTTAAATCTTATTACAATGGAACAAAAGGGCTAATTACCCTTTTAATAACCTTAATTGGCAACCCACTGCTACAGGACAAATAGCCATGGACGCTGGAAGTCTGTCTTTGGAAAAATTCACAGTGGTGGGAAGCCACCAGGCAAGCCAAACCGATGTGTCATGAGTTAGATTTCCACAACTCCATCCCTGCTTCAAGGAGCTGGCCAGATGCCAATCAGGAGGAACATACACAGTCAGGACAACTGGGCAGGAGTGAAAACACAACTGGGTCTCTCTCACTCCATCCTCCTTGCTAACATATCTAACTCTTCAGACAGTTGGTTTACAAATGGCTGATTAAGTCAATTCCCACCCCCTATCAGGATTGGCATTTTGTTTCGGTGCTGTACTAGAGACACGTTCTTGGTAGAAGCCTTTACTGTCCTGTGGTTGTCAAGGACTAGGAGAGAAAAAGGTAGTCCAATAATATTCACAGCATTTCGTATGATTTTATATAATTGTAAAATGGTGACTTCCTTACACAGTGCTGACATGCACCTGGCAAAATGACCGAGAGATGTGTTGGACTGCCGTCCTGGCACCTTCATTTTGAAATATGCTCCTGGTCCTGCATTCAAGCCCAACTCCTTGTAACCAAGAAGATTTGGCCTGGGAGGAGTAAACAAATAGTGCAAGTGTGGCTGGAGTGGCCATGGGAGGCATAGGGAGGTGATGTTAACACAGAAGGGTGGTTTGACGAGGGGGTGTGGGCACAAGCAGGTTGAGTGGGAAGTGGCTGTGCAGATTGGGTTTTGCATATGGGCGCAGGAGAATGGAGTGGGGAGACACTACACTGGGAGATGTGAGATAACAAGGTGTAGAGCTGGATGAACACAGCAGGCCAAGCAGCATCAGAGGAGCAGGAAAGCTGACGTTTTGGGCCTAGGGAGAGGGGGAGGCGGATAGGTAATGGAAAAAGGAGAAGATAGGTGGAGAGGAGACAGACAGGTCTAAGAGGTGGGGATAGAGCCAGTAAAGGTGAGTGTTAGTGGGGAGTTAGGGAGGAGATAGGTCAGTCCGGGGAGGACGGACAGGTCAAGGGGGCGGGATGAGGTTAGTAGGTAGGAGATGGGGGTGGGGCTTGAGGTGGGAGGAAGGACAGGTTAGGGAGCTGGGGACAAACTGGGCTGGGTTTTGGGATGCGGTTGGGGGAGGGGAGGTTCTGAAGCTTGTGAAATCCACATTGATACCATTGGGCTGCAGGGTTCCCAAGCGGAATATGAGTTGCTGTTCCTGCAACCTTTGGGTGGCATCGTTGTGGCACTGCAGGAGGCCCAGGATGACATGTCATCTGAGGAATGGGAGGGGGAGTTGAAATGGTTCGCAACTGGGAGGTGCAGTTGTTTAGTGCGAACCGAACGTAGGTGTTCTGCAAAGCGGTCCCCAAGTCTCTGCATGGTTTCCCTGATGTAGAGGAGGCCACAACGGGAACAGCGGATACAGTATACCACATTAGCAGATGTGCAGGTGAACATCTGCTTGATGCGGAAAGTCTTCTTGGGGCCTGGGATGGG